AAAAAAAAAAGAGAAGAGGATAGAGAAAGATAGCAAGTGAACAATAGAGGGGATGTTAGTGAGAAACAGATATGGTTTATTATCTGTTGAAGATGACGTGTATAGTATTCTCAACTGGACTGGTCTGGGAAGTATTTCATGATGGGTGAAGTCTTTTAACAAGCAAAATGAGAAATAGTGATTGACTGTTTTAAAAAATTATAATAATAATAATTATTGGGAAATGCATGGAAAAGACTTTGAATGATAAAGCGGGGAGATTGATGTCTCTGTATTGACTGACATGCATGGCATTCCCTTTTGAAAAAGCAATGGAAGTCAATGTAAAGTTATATGTAATCCAATGTAATATAAAGACGATTATGATGATAATAAAAATTAAAAAAAAAGAATACATGTAAACACATGAAATCGGTGATGGAACTGTGTGCCACACGGAGCAAAAAATGACACTGGCAATTCAGTATGTACTTCTAAGAATAAAAACATCTATGCAACATAATGTAACGTTCGATGCTGAAGAAGATGACTAAGTCTATATTATATACTGTTAGCGTGCCTTGAAAAGCCATTCTGTACCCCACTGAGATGTACAATTACATGTAAACCAGAAATCACAATTAAAAAAAAGATTCACTGAAGAAAATTAAAAAGTAAAGACAGCTGGAGAGACTGTTTCCCAGCTCTTTTCTTCTTGCTCAAACACAGGCATGCAGCTGGAGCTGTAAGAAGGAACGGGGAAAAGAATCACAGAACATGACCCTAATCACTGACTTCCTGAAGCTGAGTCCGCAAGCACCTATCTCCAGATTACTTGAGATCAGCGTAAACCATGGTCAGAAGTCATGTTTCCTGGGACCAGCAGTTAGTGTAATGTCTATGTCACTGGACTTCCATGTGGTCGACTGCAGTTTGAGTTCCGGACCTGGTGGCTTAAACTCACGCTGGGCCCATGGCATGCGTGCCCAAGATCCCAAGAGGAGAACGGAGGAGAAGGGATTGTGGCGTGGCCATCCGCCCTGGGGGTGATTTCTCGCTTTCTCTCTCTCTCTCTGTCCGGCGAGCATACATGCCCTATAGAAAAAACCTCTCCAAAAAAAAAAAGAAGAAGTCACGTTTCCTAGTTCTCACAGTCACTAAGGAGCACAGGAAGCCAACTTGGTGTGTATATCAAACACAATTTAGCACAAGTTGGGTAAATGCTCTTCATATGGCTTTGAGCACACAGCCTTGGGGCTCTGTCTCAGAAGGGAGCATTATAACCCTGGCTGTGGAAAAGGAATGTCAACCATCTAACTCAGAATGCTGAAACATGGGGTTCAACCTCATCGGCCTTTTGCTCTGGCCCCATTTTCTCTTACCAATTCTGTTCTTGGTGGAACCAACTCTTTGTATATAAAATATTTAAAGTAAGGAAGCTGCAGGAGAAGATGACTGTCTCCACAGGAATTAAAGTTCCTTGTAATTTTCACCTGTTGGAAGAACTTTAAGGAGGACAAAAAGAAGTAGGTGATGGTACAGTTAGCTGGGGCCTTGCAGATGATGAAGATACGACACAAGGTGGACAGGCATGATTATCGGGCTACCGAGGACGGATTATGAAAACAGAATATGTAGCCCAAAAGTAAAATATGGACCTAAATACCCAGAAGCTCCTCCATCAGTTAGATTTGTAACAAAAATTAATATGAATAGAATAAATAATTCCAGTGGGATGGTGGATGCACAGAGAATACCAGTGTTAGCAAACTGGCAAAACTCTTACAGCATTGAGGTTGTCCTTCAAGAGCTACAACGTCTAATGATGTCCAAGGAAAATATGAAGCTTCCACAGCCAGAAAGGTAAATATACAACAATTAATTTTAGCAGATCTCAAATTTGTCTTAAATCAACCATCTTCTACTCATTTAAATGTCTTGATTAAATATCACAATGCAAACACCCACACATTAAGTAAAAGAATTCCCGCTGGTAAACATGACTGGACATTTTTAAGACTATATTTAATATCTGTATACCCATTATATTTTCAGGTAACAAGAGGGAAAATGCAGCACAGGTTTTTTTCTCTTGTTAAGACGCTGTCATTTAAATGTGAGCCTGGAGTACTCTAAGTGGAATTGGAGTTTTCAAGATGAAAGCATGGTGAGAAGTGTCGGACGGCAGTGGTGCAAGCATGTGTGTTTCTGAAAAGCAAAACATCTCCAGAAGGAAAAACAGAAATGGTATGATGTATCCATCTTGCTTAGTGAAACAGCTGCAGTTGAAATTAAGATAGCAGGTATAATGAATACTGTCGCAAACTGTACATTTTTGAAGTCGTGTTGATACTATGTCCAGGATTGTTTTAATACGTGTAGTTATAATTTTAAAAGTGTTGGGGGATAGGGACCAGCAGTTAGCGTAATGGCTATGTCGCTGGACTCCCACGTAGTCGACCGCGGTTCAAGTCCCTGACCCGGTGGCTTAAACTCATGCCGGGCACGTGTGCGTGCATGCCCAGGATCCCGAGAGGAGAATGGAGGAGAAGGGATTGCAGCGTGGCCATCACCCCTGGGGGGTGATTTCTCGCTTTCTGTCTCTCTGTCTCTCTCTGTCTGTCTAGCAAACGCACGCGCCCTATAGTAAAAAAATCTCTCAAAAAAAAAATGTTGGGGGGTGTACTGAGGAGTTTCTGTTAAAAGCTTTTCCTGTGTGCTATATGTAATAGACATGGTAAATATTTGTTTACAGTTTTATTTAACAAACCATGTCTTTAAGTTTAAATGAAGTCAATAAAGAGGAAATAAGTGTATGGATATGTAATTTTGAGATTAAAGTTATTCTTAAAATGTAAATAAAATGCAGGAAAAAATAAAAAAGAAGAATGTCTGAGTGCCTGTAGTCACGTTTCCTAGTTCTCACAGTCACTAAGGAGCACAGGAAGCCAACTTGGTGTGTATATCAAACACAATTTAGCACAAGTTGGGTAAATGCTCTTCATATGGCTTTGAGCACACAGCCTTGGGGCTCTGTCTCAGAAGGGAGCATTATAACCCTGGCTGTGGAAAAGGAATGTCAACCATCTAACTCAGAATGCTGAAACATGGGGTTCAACCTCATCGGCCTTTTGCTCTGGCCCCATTTTCTCTTACCAATTCTGTTCTTGGTGGAACCAACTCTTTGTATATAAAATATTTAAAGTAAGGAAGCTGCAGGAGAAGATGACTGTCTCCACAGGAATTAAAGTTCCTTGTAATTTTCACCTGTTGGAAGAACTTTAAGGAGGACAAAAAGAAGTAGGTGATGGTACAGTTAGCTGGGGCCTTGCAGATGATGAAGATACGACACAAGGTGGACAGGCATGATTATCGGGCTACCGAGGACGGATTATGAAAACAGAATATGTAGCCCAAAAGTAAAATATGGACCTAAATACCCAGAAGCTCCTCCATCAGTTAGATTTGTAACAAAAATTAATATGAATAGAATAAATAATTCCAGTGGGATGGTGGATGCACAGAGAATACCAGTGTTAGCAAACTGGCAAAACTCTTACAGCATTGAGGTTGTCCTTCAAGAGCTACAACGTCTAATGATGTCCAAGGAAAATATGAAGCTTCCACAGCCAGAAAGGTAAATATACAACAATTAATTTTAGCAGATCTCAAATTTGTCTTAAATCAACCATCTTCTACTCATTTAAATGTCTTGATTAAATATCACAATGCAAACACCCACACATTAAGTAAAAGAATTCCCGCTGGTAAACATGACTGGACATTTTTAAGACTATATTTAATATCTGTATACCCATTATATTTTCAGGTAACAAGAGGGAAAATGCAGCACAGGTTTTTTTCTCTTGTTAAGACGCTGTCATTTAAATGTGAGCCTGGAGTACTCTAAGTGGAATTGGAGTTTTCAAGATGAAAGCATGGTGAGAAGTGTCGGACGGCAGTGGTGCAAGCATGTGTGTTTCTGAAAAGCAAAACATCTCCAGAAGGAAAAACAGAAATGGTATGATGTATCCATCTTGCTTAGTGAAACAGCTGCAGTTGAAATTAAGATAGCAGGTATAATGAATACTGTCGCAAACTGTACATTTTTGAAGTCGTGTTGATACTATGTCCAGGATTGTTTTAATACGTGTAGTTATAATTTTAAAAGTGTTGGGGGATAGGGACCAGCAGTTAGCGTAATGGCTATGTCGCTGGACTCCCACGTAGTCGACCGCGGTTCAAGTCCCTGACCCGGTGGCTTAAACTCATGCCGGGCACGTGTGCGTGCATGCCCAGGATCCCGAGAGGAGAATGGAGGAGAAGGGATTGCAGCGTGGCCATCACCCCTGGGGGGTGATTTCTCGCTTTCTGTCTCTCTGTCTCTCTCTGTCTGTCTAGCAAACGCACGCGCCCTATAGTAAAAAAATCTCTCAAAAAAAAAATGTTGGGGGGTGTACTGAGGAGTTTCTGTTAAAAGCTTTTCCTGTGTGCTATATGTAATAGACATGGTAAATATTTGTTTACAGTTTTATTTAACAAACCATGTCTTTAAGTTTAAATGAAGTCAATAAAGAGGAAATAAGTGTATGGATATGTAATTTTGAGATTAAAGTTATTCTTAAAATGTAAATAAAATGCAGGAAAAAATAAAAAAGAAGAATGTCTGAGTGCCTGTTGATCATAGAAAGGAAACTACTAGGGCAGTAACCTTACCGTAGTTGCTGCCATTACCCTGACTGGGCACCCTCTGCTTGCTGGGTCCCGGGCCAGGGCCTTGTCACAAGTCTACTCTGCAGTTCCCGAGGCTGGCTTTGTCATCTCCACCCAACTGGTTAGAAAACATGGATTCCAAGAAAAGGTGCAGGGACGTGCAGGCAAGGGCAGGCTCAGCACACGGCAAACACTTCCTTACCTGGCTGCACAGGGCCACAAAGGTGTCCATTTCCATATTTTCTAGCAAATCTTCCAAGATGACACTGTTCTGTTGCTCCTCTCTCAAACTAGAGTGAGCATAAAATCCACGTGAGTCAGTTCTCTTTTAAAGTGATATTATGAGAGGACAGTCTAGTTAGATAACAAAGAATCACCAGTCTAACACATGTGATTTTTTTTTTTAAGATCCATACAAAGAGTTGGCCAAAGAGGATGTCTACTTGCCTAGACTCCTTCTAACATACCCTAACAGAGAGGATTCACTAGGAAGGAGGGCTCTTCAAGGTGAGCCAAGGGAGGCTTCTCTATAGCTGGGCAGGCTGAGCCATGGTCTCACTTTGAGACTCTGCTTCGGTCCTCACAGCCGTGATTAGGAAGACCACGCTCTGAGTCTGCAGCTACCGTGTGTCTTTGCATTGAAGCAAACCAAAAGTGGTCCTGGCTCTGGTCACAAGTCCAGGTGGCACCTTTTCACATAAGGTTTCCTAACTTCCAACTTAGCCAACAACTGCTGGCATCATGGATCTACCCCATATTAAACCAACCCTCCTCAGGCACAACTCAAAACAAAAACTTGATCACAAGTGATCTCTTCCAGGGAGCACATAAATATTACATGCCCTCAAGTCTTAGCCTCAATCAAATCAACACCCCCAAGAACTTCCCCCTGACCACACAGCTTCAGTCCCCCTTAGGCAATGATTTCAGTGGAACAAATTGCATTTTGATTTGTGTTTACACAGAAAAGTATATCAAATAAATTAAAATCACCTGTAAATTCATCATCCAGAAATCACATTCATTAAAATTTGGTCTATTTCCAATTAATTTGTGTGTTTGCATCCTGTCATTTCCACATTAATATTACATTCATGGTGGAAAATTATGAAGCTGTTAAAGTTCTTAATGCCACAGGCAAAGGTTAATTTCTAATATTAGTTGAAAAAGAATTCAAAGAAGAAACTTGAGGATTGGGGTTTTGTTTTGAAATGTTATAAAAGCAATAATTAAAATACAATGTTGAGCAAGCAGGTGGCATGGTGGTTAAAGTGCTGGACTCTCATATGGCCAACCATGGTTCAAATCCTGCAGTTGGTGACTTGCTTCTCACTGTTCTCCCTAAGTCAAATGTAAGAATAATAATAAATGAATAAAAGTAAATAAGTAATCATATTTAAAAAGTTAATAAAAAAAAAAGTACTATGGGCGCTGGCAGGTGGTGTGGTGGTTGAGGTGCTGGATTCCCACATGGTTGACCATAGTTTGAGTCCTGGACCCAGCAGCTTGCTTTCTCTCTTTCTCTATTTCTCTAATTAAAATAATAATAATAATGGTGAATAAAATTAAATAAAATAATTATTTAAGATAAAAGTACTATGTTTATGTGAAATATGAATAAGTCCTATAAGCTATTGAAAGGGTTCATTGTCTTGTGCCAATACCAATCTCTGTTTTTTTGTTTTTATTTATTTATTTGGAGAGGTTTTTTCTACAGGATGCATGGGCTAGCCAGAGAGACAGAAAGTGAGAAATCATCCCCCAAGGGGAGATGGCCACACCGCAATCCTTTCTCCTCCATTCTCCTCTTGGATGTTGGGCATGCATGCATACGCGCCTGGCGTGAGTTTGAGCTACCAGGTCTGGGACTTGAACCACAGTGGGCTATATGGGAGTACAGCGACATAGCCATTACTCCAACTGCTGGTCCCTAATCCCTGGTTTTGATCATGGGCTAAGATTATGTAAGATGTTGCCAACTGGTGAAAATTGGATGAAGTGTCCAGGGACTTCTCTCTACTATTTTTCAACTGTAAGTCTGCAATTAATTAAAAATAAAACGTTTTTAAATGTAATGTTTCATAAAAGTTTAATTATAATTAAAATTAAAAAAAAAAAACATGTAGAGAGAACGGTATCGGCAAATAAATATGCTCCAAAGCTAGCAGATCATGCCTGAGCACTGGGGTGATCGCTTAGATAAGAGAGAGCCCAGGTGGTGATGCCTACTGAGTTGGAGAAGCAGGTTCCCCAGGCCTGCAGGGGGAATAGATACCACCCAGGGCATGGGGCACGTGGCCTACCTTTGCTCATGTTGCTCCAGTAACTTCTGTCCCTTGCTCAGGGCTTGCCGCAGGACCGCAGAGATCTGCCTTTCAGGTTCCATCTCTCCAGGCTCATTCAGCAGCCCAGGCCCATCGGCCACCCACTGCTGCCAGCTCTCTAGGGCCTGCTGCTGCTGGGCTGCCTCCTGCTGGGCCAGCTGGTCCTCCAGCTTCCTTTCCAACTCCTGGAGATCCTGCACTCAGAGAGGGCAGGTGGTGAGTCCCACCGCAAAAGGCAGGTAGACTGCAGGACAATTTCTGATCTCCACAGCATGGCACTGGAAGCCTGGCAAGACCTGGTCCTGCCTGACTCCTGCATCTGGCCATGCCAGACTATGGATTATGACTGCACTGCCCTCATCTGACATGCCCACTTGCCACTCCTGTCCGATTTTTCCCAGTAACCAGAAATCACTACCCTGTGTTTTTTGTTTGGTTGTTTTTGCTAGAGTGTGAGTTTCTGAGGGCAGGGTTGTGTTTCCCTCTCCCCATCTGCACCATGCTTGGCAGCTGGCACCTGTCCCTAGCACATTGTGGAGCACCTGCATGCAGCCACCACATTTGAAAGCACGGTGGGACACAGCATCATGGCTAATACCAATGATAATTACAGCACACCAGGCTCTGTTCTAAGTGCTCACATATTTTAATTAGATTAAATCATCATAACACTTCAGAATACAAACTTTTATTTCTCTTTATTATAAATGAGGAAATTGAGGCAGAGAGAGTTAAAGTAATTTGCCAAGTGATGCAACTACTAAGCGAAAGAGCCAGAATGTTTGGCCAAGCAAGTTGGCTCTGGGGTCTATGTTAACTACTGGGCTATCCAGCTTCTCAGCCAAACAGAAGAAATCTGCATCCTTGTGCTGCCAGAATTAGATCATCCCAGCACAGGTGACCGTCCACAGTCACCTTAGGTAAGTAGGTGGAATAGGCAGGAGAGTCTCAGGCCGTGGAAAACGCAACATATTTAACTCATTATTCACCAGATGAGCCAGTACAGTAAATGGAAGTGAAGGGAGAGGATAGAGTTTAACCCTAAAAGGCAGTAGAAGAATCAGGGATGGTGGTTCTTGATCTTCCTAAAATAAGTACAAAATGGTTTGCCTTTCTGCAGAGGTGCCAAAGTTTGCATCAAATTGTCAAAAGGGTTTTGAAAGAAGCCTCTGAAAGATACAGATTAGGGCTGCTAACACGCTGAGATTTATGCTTTAGATCATCCCTCGAGTCACGGCACCCTCAATGGAAACACAGCCCAACACAGTTTCCAACACTGTGTTCTGACAAGCTGTAAGCAAGGCCAGGAGCCTGAATCAGAGGCCACATTTCTATGGAGGTCAGCACCAGCCCACCCCCAGCCCACTGTGTAGGGAAGGAAGTCTCGAACCCAAATCTGTCAGTGTCACCAGGGAAAGCAGTGGAGCACAGAGCTGGCTTTCTGAGTACTAGCTGAGCTCATCTGGAACACACATCAGGTGGGAATGTGTCCTGTAGTAATGATCTGCTGATGGCAAATTCTCCCAGAATTTTAGTCCTGTCCCCAACCCCCACCACACCCTGAACACCTGCCTGCCTCTTAGCACAACTGGAATTCAAAACAGTTCTAAAACTGTCTTCCTTAATGACTGCTTTCCTCAAGGGACTTTTTTTGGGGGGAGGAGAGATATTTTTGCTATAGAGCTTGCCAGAGAGAGCGTGACAGACAGAGAGACAAGAAAACAAGAAATCCGCCCCTCACCGGGGAGGGCCACACCACACTCCCTTCTCCTCCATTCTCCTTTCAGGATTTTGGGCACGCATGCACATTCACCTGGTGTGAGTTTTACGCTGCCAGGTCCAAGATCTGAACTGTGGTCGACTACGTGGGAGTTCAGCGACATTAACTATTACGTCATCTGCTGGTTCCTCTCACTGGATTCAAATGCTGAGGTGAGGGACTCTGGGACTGTAACTGACGTGTTTATTTTTCCCCAGCAGCGATCACAGCCCTGGTTCATGGTAGACGTGATGGTAGTCATAATGATGGTGATAGTGATAATCATGGCAGTTAGCATTTACTAAATGCCTATTCTGTGCTGGATTTCACTCAGAGTATTTTTATGCAAATTAGTTTATTTAATTTTTACGAAATAACACAAGGTAGGAATCTATAGCATTCAATAGAAAAGTACCTGAGGTAATAAAAAAAAGGATAAGTTAAGTCTGAAATCACAGAGCTGGGCAAAAGGCACAGGCAGGAGTGATTTCAAGTTTCTCTGATTCTGCTCTATTGCCATCTCTCAGCTCTATTGCCTCAATAAGGCAGTTCAAAGATATCTGATGAATGAACAAACAGACAGACAGATGATGACGATGATGGTAGGTGGATGAATGGATGGATGGATGAATGAATGGATAAAAAAATAGGTTAGTTGGTACACAGGTAGGTAAGTAGGTAGATCAATAGAATTCTAAGCCTTTTATTGGGCATGAGGTATTTTGAGGTGAATGAGACGCGGCTCCTAGATTCTGAAAACTCAGTCTAGTAGGGATATAGCTATGCAAGCCCAGTTAAATGTGCTATCACAAAGATTAGAGATGGAAGGTTATAGAAGCACAAACTGAACTGAGATGACCAACCCTGCCCTAAGGAATCCATGGTTGGCTTCAGAGGGGAGCAACATTTGGGCTTGTCTTAGAACACAGACAGGTGTGTGAAAGGAGGTGCAGCAGAAGCATTCTAGGTAGTTGTCCCTCAAAGGATGGACACTTGAATGTGTCTCAAGTGCTCAGGGAGCAGCGAGAAGGTCCAGGGCTAGAACACAGAACCCAAGGGTGGAGTGGTTGGAGGTGAGATTTTAAAATATGGGGCTGGGAGATGGGCAGTGAACAAGTGCTTTTATTCTTCAGAAACATTCCTTTGGTAACAGTGTGGAAGGGAGACTAGATCAGAGTGAAGGAGAGAGGTAGACACTGGCATTAAGCTGAGGGCATGAGCTTTAGAAACAGAGGTCTCCAGTCTGCTTTCCAACTGTGGGAGCTTGGTGAATGCCTTAACCTTCCTAAGCCTCAGCAACTTCGTCTGCAGAGTAGATATAAAATGCCATGGGTTGGAGATAAGGTTTAAACACTTAACACAATGCCCTGGTAGAATGAGATCTCAACCACTGTTAGCTCGCATTCATGTTATTTCTGTTTTTCAGGTCTGGATAATCAGAGCAGTGAAGCTGGGTGGCAGAGGTTGGAAGTGAGAAAACTCAGGCAGAATCAATAGATGGGATGCCTAGAGGCAGGCGGGCAGGAAGGCAGAGAGAAGAATGGAGGAAGATGCCTGGGCCAGCCTTGGGAAAGTGGATGCACGGCAATTTAACCTGAAATGCAAATTCAGTGGATACAGTTAGTCTGGGGTCACATTATCTGTTAGGAGGAAGTTCACTCTATTTAAATTTGTCCATCATTGCAAGGTGGCCCCATGATCCAATTAGGCCTTGCATATGTTCCGATTTTATAGAATGAGTCTAAATCTTCCATCAAATGAGGTAAACTTAATACAGTTTTCGTAGGAGTCTTTTCTTCTAAAGCATCTCATTTCATGCTTTTTTAATTCTCCTGGATGTTTAACAGCTTAAAAGCCCATTTCCAATAGAAAACTGGTTTACACAGAATGATCAAATTGCAGAGTGAAAGTCGAGTATCTGGAGCAAAACAACATGCTTGTCTTTCCTCCAATTCAAAGGAAGAAAATAGTGCATGATAATCATTGCCTTTCCACCAATTTAACAGTAGAATATCATCTGATTTATTTTCAGTTGCTCCCAATTCGAGACACATTGACTCTTCTAAACCAGCTAGAAATAGGACACTATGATGTTACTCAAAAGATAAAATGGAAAATGTAAGTGTTGTATTTCCCCAATTACTAAAGGAAATCATATTCTCAAGTAAAAAGTATCATTAGGTATCTTAAGGCTGAGGATGTTTCTTGGGCACTTACAATGGGTAGTGAGAGAGAGAGAGAGAAAGAAAAAGTGAAAGATCACCCCCCACCCCCCAGTGGGGAGGGCCATGCCACAGTCCCTTCTCTTCTGAACTGAAAGCCAGAGGCTCCTAGTGTCTCGCTCTGCTCGTGGTTCACTCCCTGACCTTGGACCTGCCCTTCCTTCTGAAAGCTCTAAGGGGAGGCTCCATACCTTGAGCTCTCCTTCCCCCTCGCTCTTTGCCCTATCTCCCTGAGACCCAGCTGCTAGTCTAGCTGGGCCCATGAACATCTCCTGATCATTTCCTTCACCTCATGAAAGTGGCCTACAGCAGGGTCCTTTTCAGAGGTCTACACATTCCTCCCACATTAATATCACAAGATTAGGAGCACTAAACCCTAAACATCCTCTGCTGACTCTTGTTAATTGATAAGATGACCTTTTATTGTAACCTTCAAGCAAGGTATGTACAAACCGCACCCCTATCTTGGTGACCAGGAATCTGCGTTGGTCTTTAATTGGCTCATGAATGCTTTCTTCTTACCGTAGGTAACCGAGCCTATGCTCAGGACAGCACAGGCATTCTCCACGTGGCCGTTAGTGGAGCATAAGCAAACTCGCGTCTGGCCCTGCTGGACCTTCTGGTGTGCTCTTTGGAATCAGTAAAGATAATGGGCAAGCCCTCTCAGATTCCGGGCTTCCCCAGACCCGCCTCACCTCTTCCATCTGGAATTCAGGGCAGCAGACCACCTCCATACTAACCAGCTGTAAGTGTGGGTTTTGGCTAAGGGCTCTGTTGAGGATTCCTCCTGTTTTCAATTTGCTGAGGACTTGTATCTTGAATGAGTGTTAAACTCAATAAAATATTTATTCTATATGTCCTGAAATGAGCATATCAGGTTTTTTGCTCCTTTAATCTGTTAGTTAGATGAATTTCTAAATGGATGTTGTAAACTTGAACCAATTGTATAGTCCTGGGAGAAACCCAATCTAACTATGACATATTAATTTTTTATAGATTATGTTCATAATATTTTGTTTACAAATTGTATGTCTCTATCCAAAGTAAGATTGAATTGCGATTGTTCTTTCTGGTACCATTCATACCTGGTTTTGGTGTCAAGGTTATTCAGTCATAAAATGAGTTCACACATATTCTCTCTTTTTCTAACACCAGAAAATAGTTATATATGAGATTAACAAAATAAAGTTGGTGAAGCTGACTTATAAAGCTATTGAGGTTGAGTGCTTTTATATGTGTGTTGGGAGACTTTAAGATACTGAACCAACTTTCATGGAACCTGGACTCCACAGACTTTTTGTCTATTTGAGTCAATTTTCATGATTTATATTGTTGTAGAAAATTTCCCATTTCATGTTAGCTCTCAAATTTACCTACATAAAACTGCTCATCTTTCAAATACACCTATATAAAGCTGCTGACTGCATTCTCTTATTTTTTTTAAAACTACTGCATCCATTGTTATGTTATTGCTTTTTATTTTCTTGACATTATTCAAGAATTATTTCCTTAATGGTCAGTTTGGTCAGAGATTTGTATATTTTATTAGATTAATTTCCAACACATTCAAGTTTTCACTTTATTGTCTCTGCATATGGTAGTTTTGTTTTTATTTATGCTGTGATATTTGTTTTATTTATGCTGTTTCTTTCTTCTATTTTCTACAGGTTAATTAGTTGTTGTTTCTGCCCTAACTTTTCATATGATCTTAATTATTATGAGCCTTTCTTCTGTACTTTTCGCTCTCTCTCTTTAATTTTTAGTTCTTGCTATAAGGCATATATGCTTACCAAAGAGAGACACACAGAGAGAGAGAGAAAGGAAAAGTGAGAGATCACCCCCCAGTGGGGAGGGCCATGCCACAGTCCCTTCTCTTCTAGTCTTCTCAGGATTTGGGGCACACATGCACGCATGCCTGGCATGATTTCCAAGCTGCCAAGTCTGGGATTCAAACTACACAGTTGGCATGTGGGATCCAGCCACCTTAACCTCCATGCCACCTCTGGTGCACTCTTCTTTTCTGATTGATATAAGTTTAGGGCATAATTTTCTCTGCACAACTATTCTAGCTGAATTTCACACATTTAGATATGTCCTAGTTACATTATTTTTCTTTTCTATGTATTTTTAAATTTCCATTATGATTTCTTTGGACCATGAATTATTCATAAGCTTGATTTAAAATTTTCGAAGTCCAAAGTTGGACATTTGTAATTCCAGTAGTCTTTTCTTATCTGTGGTTTCTCTTTCCATGGCTTTAGTTTCTGTAGTTTCAGTTACCCGCAATCAGCTATGGTCTAAAATATTAAATAGAAAACTCCAGAAATGAACAATTCATAAGCTTTACCTCACTTGCCATTCTGAGTAACATAATGAGACCTTGCATTGTTCTGGCCTGTCTTGCCTAAGACGTGAAACATCCCTCGTCCAGAGTAGACACTCGGTAATGCTATCTGTCTGGTAACACTTCCTGTCCGTTAGTCACTTAATAGCCATCTCACCTTTCAGATTAAAAAACAAAACAAAAAGCAGTTTAAATAGGATTCTGTAGTTTCAGGTATTCATTGGGGGTTTAGGAAGATACTCTCCCACAGATTAGGGGAGACTACTGTACCTTTTAAGAACTGATTTAAACATAATTACCATTGTCAAAAGGTGATCAAATGACATTATAGAGTCAATGATTTTGTGTAAAATATGTTCTTTAGTGTGTGCTAAAGAATTAAGAATTGACTGTGAGATTCTGTATATGTACATTAAAACCAACAGGTGGCTTGGTAGTTAAGGCGCTGGACCTGGTGGCTTAAAAAACACTCTGACACATGTATGTGAATGCCCAGAACCCTGAGAGGACACTGGAGGAGAAGGAACTGAGGACACTGGAGGAGAAGGGATTGAAGACACTGGAGGAGAAGGGATTGAGGCATAGCCATCCCCTTGAGGGGTCATTTCTCACTTTTCCTCTCTCTCTGTCTCTCCAGTGAGTGTATGTATCCTATGAAAAAAATTTAAAAAATATTAAAAATAAATAAATCCATCTTACATGCCCTACTACATGCATGTCAATTTGTATTTCATTTGATTAACCAATCAACCACTCAAAGACATGTGCTGAAATGTCCCACTATGATGAGAGACACAGACAGAAAGAGAGAGGGAAAGTGAGAAATGGCATACCACAATCCCTTCTCTTCCATTCTCCTTTTGGGATTTGGGACATGGATACACACGTGCCTGGTATGTTTTGAAAGCAGCCATGTCTGGAACTCAAACCATGCTGTCCGGCTACTTTTCAAAGGAAGTATGATAACTTGTTTTGGCTATCTCAACTGATACAGTCTATGAATGTAAGAATGTAAGTTCATAGATCAAAGTAAAAAAAAAAAAAAGATCAATTTGTGGCACCTTTCATTTATTAGCCATGTGCTCTGCACAAAGAGCCATGTACTAAATCTTAATTTCTTTCTCTGAGAACTGAGCAAAATAACAGTACCCACCTCACAGCATGGCTCAATAATTAATTAATGTACAGCAAAGAGCATAATTGTAAAGCAGCATAAAATTGCAACTTATTATTAACCATGCTTAAATGATAATCTTAAGAAGTATAATTAGGTAAAGAATTACTCATGCTTACATAAGAGCATGTCATTCACATCTTAATATTGCTTGCCTGTCCCAGACTAGGTGCTCTGTAAGTATGAGGTGCTTTTTCCTCACTGTAAGTAATTCTTATAATAATTGGTAATATGTAAAATGCTAAAATCAACACATAAGGGACCTAAGACTACTAGTCATCAAAAGAGTTATTACCACGTCTTTTGTTTTATAGATATAATTCTTGCAATTTGGGGAAAAAAAGCAGCATCTAAGAATAATGGTGATAACTACAATTATGAACATAATAAATAATCTAACCTGTCTTCATATTTAGGAGGCCATTAATTAAAAGATATACTACTGCTTTGTGTGGCACTATGAAAGACACAATACTGCGAACTGCACCGTGACACAAGTCATTGCTTAGAAGATGCATGCCAGTTTCGGAGATGTTAACATTCAGAAGCGTGCTTCTCAGAGGCACTGAAATGGAGCCTTCTTGAATTGAGAGTGTAAAGTGCTCTCACATAAGTCACTTCGCCTAATCCTCACCACAACCCTGTGGCAAAGGCAGGACAGGTGATTGTAGCCCATTCCAGGGTGGAAGAAACAGGCAAGTGCCAGAAAGACCAAGGGATGATGGCGGCCAACCCCTCCCTGCTCTCACCGGATTGTGTGACTCCAGGATCTGAGTGCAGGCTGACTTGGTGAGGGTCTCCGTCACACTCAGCTCCTCAAGGAGCAAGTCCTGGATGCTGAGGAGGGCAGTGTATGCAGACAGGGTCTCTGTCACCCGGGCCGCCTTCTGGAACTGCAGAGCAACCAGCGACTCGGCGAAGCGTCCTTCCTGGGCCTCCAGCTGCTGCACTCTCTCCCGCAGTAATTCTCCTCGGACCTGGGAGGGACCAACCCAAGAGTGGAAGGGGGAGAGCAGCCTTTCAGAGGGTTATCATGAAGAAGCACTGGCTATCAGGAGGGACCAACTGATGGCAACAAGGGAGTCTGCTCATAAAGACTATGGGGACTTTGGGGCCTAGCTGTCATTCCTTCCATATTTATCGGCCTCAGGCTAAATCAAATCTCACTGCTATTCTGCTCAAAATCCTTCATAGGGTCACCATTTTCTAGAGGTTATAATCCAAATTTCTTAATCCAGGCTCCAAGACCGTTCCCATTCCTACCCCAGGCAAACTACCTCTGGAAAGATCTGATCTGTTCTGTCACCTCCCACTCACACACCCAGGACTTCAACCACTCCTAATCACTCACTGTGCCCTACACACCATGTTTCTGTGCCTGTGGTCGGTGTTCTTTGCTATGACTGAAAGGCCCTCCCATCACCACCTTCCTGAAAACCTACTCTGTCCTTCGGGTCTCTAGTTTCTAACTAGATTCTCTAGCATCTTCACTTCTCTCCTTGCTTCCCAAGTTCCATGCCTGTCTCTCAGGGCAGAACTCACTAGGACAGGAGTTCCCCTAAAGCTGGGCAGGTTTGGGCCCAGCACCCACGGGGCTCAGTAAATTATAGATGAGTGAATCTACTTACTCCACTCATTCACTCAACTGAGTAGTTCATTTCATAGTCTGTTTTTTCTCTGCTAGTACCGCCTCTAATACTTCCTGCAAAACCATTGCTACAGGTACAATGTTCTCAAATATGCTAGACGTCACCACCTGGGTCCGTAAAGGGAGTTCACCTTAAATGTGTATGCCTCTCCCCTGTGCAGGGAGCTAAAGCACCAGCCAAAATGTAGCCTGCACAAACACATTACCTCTTTGAAGTCTTTCGTTTCATCTTTAAGATCTTATAGAACTTTATTCACAATAGCCAAAAGATGGAAACAATCCAAGTGTTCATTGATGAATGAGTAGGTAAACAAAAGTGGAGTGCAACAGAATATTATCTGGCATTAAAAAGGAAGGACATTCTGACACACGCTGCAGCACGATGAGCTTTGATAACATTGTGTTAAATGAAATAAGCCAGTCACAAAAGCAGAAACATATATGATTCTACTTATATGAGGTCCCTAGTGTAGCCCAAATCATAGAGGCAGAAAGCCATGGGCTGAGGGGCGGTGGAGAGGGGAACTACGGTTTAATGAGGACAGAGTTTCAGTTTCGCAGGATGGAAAGGTTCTGGTGACGGATGGTGGGAGGGCTGCACAACACAGTGCATGTATTTAGCACCACTGAACTGCACTTTAAGTGGTTAAAATAGTAAATTAAAAAAAAAATTTATTATAAACCCCCCCCTGAAAATGTTTGTGGAATTTTATTTTATGCTATATAAACTATTTTTAATAGCCATATGTTCATAGTTAGGTATTTCAAAATAGTATGAGAAAAAATATTTGCACTAAGTTGAACCTGGCAGAGAATGACTGCCTAGGTTTGCCCCAGAATCTCCACGCACAACCCTTCTGTCCCCATCCGTGTGTCCCTTGAAGGATGCTAGTCTTGGTTTGAAAATCTCAGATTTCATCTCTGATTCCTCTTCAGGAAACACTGATGCAGAGAAGAGGCACAAAGTGGCCTAAAGAAGGCTGTAGTCTACGGACTAGGGGGAGAATTGCTCTGCCTGGGAGAACCTGCATGCAAAGGCTTGAAGAGTTGGTACTTCAAACAGGCCTTGGAGAACAGAGTACAAAGATGTGTACTGAGGACTAGCAAAGCATCACATTTTACTGCTGTGCCACCATCAGACGCCTGGTAATTTCTGAGTTACAGGCATTGTGGATTTTACCTTGTTGGGTCCTGGATATTTTGTATTTCTGTAATGATTCTTTTTCTTTTCTTTTCTTTTCTTTTTATTTATTTATTTTTTTGAGAGGTTTTTGCTATAGGGCACATATACTCACCAGAAAGACAGAGAGAGACAGAGAGACAGAAAGCGAGAAATCACCCCCCAGGAGGGATGGCCATGCTACAATCCCTTCTCCTCCATTCTCCTCTTGGGATCTTGGGTGTGCAAGCACACGTGCCTGGCATATGTTTAAGCCACTGGGTCCGGGACTCGAACGGTAGTTAACAACATGGGAATCCAGCGACATAGCCATCATGCCAACTGCTGGTCCTGATTCTTAAACTTTGTTTTGGGATGCAATTATGTTCCTTGGAAACAGGTTGATCTTTTCTAGTCATGTTTTTAATGTCTTTTAGGTGGGACCAGAGCAGAGTTTAGCTTAGGAATCATTTCACTGAGGCAAGACCATACTAAATCAAATATCCTCTGGATTATGAGGCTTATGAGTCTGGCTGAGGGAATTATCGCTACCCCAGCCCAATGTGACCACTGAGTGCTCTTCTCTATAAACCTTTGGGGTACTTCTGATGCAGTAACATGGAGGGTGCAGGGGTGATTGGGCCCAGCACTCGTAGTGAGACCCAGGTTTTTGTCCCATGTTTGGGAAGAATTAGAGATCCAGACATGTAGACGGGATAGCAAGTGGAGAGTTTATTGAAGGAGGTGGAAGGAAGATCAGAGCTCCTAAGAAGAAGGGAGGGAATCCTGAAACGGGTTGCCACTGTTTGGTTTGGGTTCTGGGTTTATATCCCTGCTGGGAGGAATCTGTGCACGTGTTCTCCTCATGGTAGGAGATCGCATGTCCTACAGGTTATGCTACACCTTAGGGTGTTCTCATAGTCGTGAGACCCTATGTAATGATGGCTAACTGGAGACTGGTTTGTTTAGAGGTTGTTAATTTGAAAAAGATCATTATCTCAGTTAACTGTGAAGGCCTGGTGATCCATACCTTGGAATTCATCCCAGAGTCAGGGATGGTCTCCCTCATCAGAAAGTGCCTTGCTCCAGTCTGGTCTCTGTGATGATGCATTTATGTTGTCTGCTGTCCTGGATTACGTCCTTTCGGCCTTTGGTCTTTTCTAATTAAGTCCCATTGCAGAGGGTCAGCAGATAATGTAAAAGCATTATCACTTCTTCCCCTGGCTCTGCACAATTTTCTCTGCACACTCAGGGCAGGTCTTGGCTGCATACTCAAGGGAACCCATGGCTAACTCCAGAGCTCCCTGTCTGTGTAGATTTTTTTTTTTTTCTGCTCTTCTGCCCTGTGAGATGCAGCTGACCTGGCTTCTAAAATTCTTAGCTCTGTTTCCTCTTTTTAGGGAGGCCCTGAAGCCCTGCCTGTGTTCATTGGTACCATGGAAAGGAACAGACTGACCAGAAGCCCTGATGCAGAAGTTCCTATAGAGATTAGGGAGAGGCCAAATAGATCACGGCTGAAAAAAAAGTGGAAAACTAAGCCAAGCTGTAAAGGTTGAGCAGACACACTGCAGAGGCCAGGGCTGCCAGGGATCAACGTAGACTTTCTCCATAGACAATGGATAGGTCTGTGGCAAGCCAGCTGAAAGTCCCTGAGCAAAGAAACAAGACTCATGGGAAGGTGACCAAGAAATGACGAGCAGTCTCCTTTATTATATGCCTGCCATGAGTTTGCATTGTTGATACCTCAGGGTGGTCTCCATCTTCCTCTCTGGAGTACCTGGTGGTTGGAGTGTCCCGTAAGGCCCAGTCCCTTGTGGGGAGGCAGGGTGGAATTAGGTGGTCCTGAGGGATAGCTTAAGTTTTATTTATGCAAATCCATGTCTAAAATGTGGGGGAAAGCTTAAAGATTTCCGTATGTGCTACAAGAAGTAGGTGGACAGGGAAATTAAAAAATGAGTTCTCCAAAATCCTTTTTCCTTCTTTGGAAAGCTTAATTTGCTAATTCCAGTGCCATGAGAATGTGTCTCTAGAGAGGGTTTAAATCCTTGTCTAAAAAACTCCTGGTAAAGGAGACAGATTTGCATTTCTATGGGGCATTAAGGACTGGCTTCATTAAATATTCAGGCTGCCTAAAGTAATAAAAATTCATTTGCAAAACAATATGCTGCTAAATACTTTATTTTAAATGAGTAATTCAAATAAGTTCCTTTTCCCCTGAAACATGTTGATTTCATAGAAGTTTGTTCTATGCACTGCAATGGTCTTTAAATGCATAACAAAACCAACTGGATAGCTGATTAAAAAGTTATTGGGAGTACAAGGAAGTCAATAAATCACACCCCTTCCTTCTTGCCCAGGTTTGGAAACAAATATAACTATTAATAGATGCATAACAGACATCAACACAAGCTCTTACTATATGAAGAATGGGGGCTTCCTGTGGGCATGCTAGCTTCCAGAGAGAGAGGAGGGAACTGAGCTAAGCCTCACTGGTCCTTCTTTAATCTCATTAATCACATAGTGCCCGCTTTTGAGAAGAATGGGGCTAGGGATGGAGAGAGGTCAGTAGTGGCACTAGCTAAGTACCACTATGTGGAAAGAAGAGATGGATCTGGAAAGAGGAATCTTGCTTCCAAACTTCAGGAGAAGAGAGCTAACAAAACACTGGTGAAATATAATTGTACATATGAAGATTTCAGTTCCAGTGGTGGCTCCTTTCAAAGAGCAGGTTGGTTTAATTTGCTTTCTGCTGGATGCATTTACTAATCAAAGAGAAATGTTTGGCAAAGAAAGTTTAATCGAGAGAAAAAGACATCTTCATGGCTCCTGAGAACTAATGATTTCAGGGAAAAAAGAAAAATGAAGATTTTCTACTGATAATTAGCCTCCAGCCCACAAACTCGAGTGGAGAGGCAAGAGGCAGGTCTTCAGAATAAGACACCTTCATGGCTCCTAAGAACCAGTAATTTCAGGGAAAAAAGAGAAATGAAGATTTTCTACTGATAATTCAGACTCCAGCCCACAAACTCGAGTGGTAGGAAGCCCCTCAAGCCTTCTCTCTGTCTCTGTTGCTATCTTTGTCTCTCTGCCTCTGTCTTCTTATTTTTTGGTAGTTTTTCCTTTATAAAATGTTTTAAGGTGAAGCATTTTCTCAGCTTTCAGCCCCTCCT